CTGTTGGCTGAGTTCAGGGCAAGCGCCTTAATTCCTGTGCTGTGTCTTCAGTGTTAAGTGTATTTGGTGCCTTCTTTGTTTTGCAGATTTTCCTACATCTCAATCTGAGATGCATACTCCCGCTTTTTCCCTTCTGAAGAAGCCCATGTTCTCTCTTAAACACTTTCTCTGTTCCTCTCCCCTCATATTTTTTTGAAAAACTAATTTAGGGAACCTGAGTAGAGTACAGCATGTAGCGTGCTTGCCTTGCACGTGGCCAGTCTAAGTTGAATTCAGTACACCATATGGCCCCCAGAGCCCACCAGGAGTAAACCTTAAGCTGTTAGCTGAGTGTGGGCCAGAAACAAAAATGTATTTTTCTTTAAAAATGAAAGAAAAAAATTGAAACGCCCCCCCCCATTTGTATTGAGGTACCATTACGCCTTACAATACCCATCAAATATTGGCGTAAGCTTTATGCCGACATCATTTCAACACTATACTCACCTCCAAGATTTCTAATTTTGTTATTCATTACCACCTTATTTTCCTTTATATCTTTGAGCATGTTTATAATAACTACTTTTGGGGGTGGAGCGAAGGGTTTGGAAACAACCAGCAGCACTTTGGGCTTTCTCCCGGTAGTGTGTAGGGGACAAGATGGTGCCAGGTATCCAACCCAGGCCTTCAACCCAGTGAGCTACCGCTCTAGCCCATCATAGCTACTTTAAATCCTAATTTACTCATTCTAATATCTGGATCATCTCGGGATTAGTTATTTTATTGTATCTTTTGAGAATGTGACATATTTTTCTGCTTCATTACGGTCTAGTAATTTTAGATTGTGTATCAGACACAATATTGATATTATCCTTTATAGAAATTCTGGATTCTATTATATTTTCCTAGAGTATTGGTGTATTGGCTTTTGGCTGGTAAGGTGCAGGGGAGCTACTTTGTGCTTGGGGACCATTCCCAGCAGTGTTTGGGGATGTGGGGCTGAGAATCAGACCTGGGCTTGTCCTGTGCAAAGCATGCCTTGCATGTAGTCAGCCTATTCAGCAATCTCTCCAGCTCCTTGATTTTTTTTTCTCAGACAGTTAACTTGGCTGAACTTAAACTTCAGACTTTGTCTCCTCTGTGATAGACAGCAATTGTGTTTAATTTTTTTTATCCTTAATTGGACTGTTTGGACACTGCTTCGAAGATGTACATAAAAAGGGTCAGCAAAGACAATTGGCCTGTTTATTCAGAATTAATTTTTCCGATGGGAGAGATAGTACAGGTTTTAAGGTAATTGCCTTGCGTGCAGCTAAACCCTGACTCAACCTCAGGCAACATATTTGGTCCATGAGCACTGCCAGGAGTCATCCCTGAGCACCAAACCAGGAGTAAGCCCTGAGCTTATCTACCTATTTTAGTCCTAACCTATTTTTCCATCCTTATTTTATTTCTATGTAGCCATGTTTAAACTAATCCAATTCATTTCTCCTTTCTTTAAAAAATAATGTACATGCTTACCTTATCTCTGTTCATGTTGCCCCCTTAATCCATTATATAGTCCACACTTTTCTTCTGCTAAAATCTTTACCACTTTTTAGATCTCAGCATAAGATTTATCTGCCTTTTCCATGAACCCTTTGTTAATCTTGTCTAGCTATACCACTCATTGGACATTGACTGATACTGAATGTCATGTAACTGTTGTTATATTGACCCAAGTGAAAATATGCTGCCTATCAAAGTCTAACTAGATATTCAGTCTAATTCGATATCTAACGAGTCTCAGGAACAAAAGTCTTACGATTCAGTTTTCTCCTATAAACACTAACTCAGTATTTAGTTCAGTAAATATTCTATTTAATAAAATTTTTAGTAAGGGAACAATTCCAATGTTTAATAATGTATATAGAAATGTTTATAACATAACCTAGCACACTAGAAACACTAAAATTTACCTGTTTCTGATATTTTTATTTTCTGAAATCAGAGTAGTGATCTTTGACCGTTCTTTTCAGTTCACCCTTTGCTGATTATTATTTCTATTCTTAGACTCTAAGATTTGCGGAATCATAGAACTGGAAATTATTTAAGGTCATTTGAGAAAAAAATCCCTTTATTCTAGTGAGAGCATGAGCAGATTCAGAGCCTCCTGATCGATACCGTGGTTCTCAACCAAGGGAGCTCTAGACAGCTCCTCAGCAAGGAATTCTTTGTCCAAAATGTCCACAGTGCTAAGGCCTGAAGGCGACTCTGCCTTTTATTTAACCTTCACGAGAGGAGGCCCACTTGCTCCCTGGTCTTCTGTCATCACAGAAATGTCTTCATGCCAGACATGCTTGTTCTTTGGTATTTCTTCTCTTTGCATTTTTCTGTTTTGAGAGGAAAATTTAAGAAGCTGAAAATATGTAGGGAAAAATATGTTTTTCAGAACTATGTTGCTCATTACACATAGCTTTAAAAGTGGGGGAAATTATAAAAATTATTTGGAGAGAACAGTTACAAAGTGAAGTGAAAGAAGAGAGGAGAGTTGAAAGGGTGGGGGGCTTCCCTTCACTGCCTCCCTCCCACCTTCCTGGGCCTCTGTCCCACTTCCAAGGCTATACACAAACACACTGAGGGTTGCTCTGGGGAGCGTGGTCAGCAACTTAGGCCTCCCAGAGCTCAGTATAATTCCTCCTCTAGCAAGAGAGACTGGAGTAGTGATCCACTTTTCAAGTTGCCTGAAGGAATGTGTGAATGTCCCAGTCTGCAGTTTGGAAGCAAAGTCTCCAAACTGGCTGCTTTTTCATGAGTTTGCAGATAGATCATCCTTTTCTGGGTAGCTTTGTTCTTTTCCCTAAGTAGCAGCCACATGATAATGCCTTTGCTCCAGAATCCACGTGTATCCTTCCGTACTCTTTGAGCTCAAAAGGTATAGGGTTATTTTCTTTTCCCCTGAATGAATGGAAGGATCGAGACTCAAGGTCACAGTTCATTTTCACAAGTTATATCCAGTGTAATTTAGGTGCTTATCCAAGCAAATCCAAGGGACTAACTAACTTATATTTTATTTACATGTTTTCTGTCTTGCTGTTATTTTCAGCAAGAAAAAACGAAGGATGAATTGACCCTAAATTATTACCATATTTTAATAGTATATTTAAGATTTGGCGGGGGATGGGGGAGTCAGACAATAAAATACAGTATTTCTAGATTTTTCTCAAATCAGATTTTTTTGGTTTTGTTTTGGGGGCCACACCTGGCAGTCCTCAGGGATTACTCGTGGATCTGCACTCAGGAATTATTCCTGGTTGGGCTCAGGGAATCATACGGGGTATCGGCAATTGAATCCAGGTCGGCTGCTTGCAAGGCAAGTGTCCTACCCACTGTACTATCACTCTGGCTCCTCAAATCAGGTGTCTGATATATGTAATCATTTCTCTTCTTTCATTTGGACCCAATCAAATTCTCTGTACAACCTTTCAGATGCCAGAAAAAAACTGCTTTCCCAAAACATATTTAAAATACCACAGTGAAACCTAACTCCCTGCGTCATGAAGTTCTACAGCTCATCTGCACTTAGGTGGATCAGCAGTGCCTTGAAAGATGAAATTAGAACCTATACCGGCCTTGACTAATGAGTAATTTTTTTTTTTGCTTTTTGGGTCACACTCGGCGGTGCTCAGAGGTTACTCCTGGCTCTGCACTCAGGAATTACCCCTGGCGGTGCTCAGTGGACTATATGGGATGCTGGGAATCGAACCCGGGTCAGCCTCATGCAAGACAAGTGCCCTACCTGCTGTGCTATCGCCCCAGCCCCCATGAGTGAAATTAAAAAAAAAAAAATTTAACATTTAACACTGACATTTTCTTTACTGTTTGTTTGCTTTGTTTTGATTTGGGGGCCACACCCAACAGCGCTCAGGGCTACCTCCACATACCTGGAGATATCTATTTGATGTTAGATTCCAAGTGGGTCAAGGTCGTGCAAGGCAATTGCCTTAACACCTGTACTGTCCCTCTGGCTCCACTTTGACATGCATATAGAATTAGTAAATCAAGCAGAGCATACAGATGCAGTCAGGATTTTGTCTGAGTATGGCAAGAAATAACCGGGGATTGTGATTGACAGAAAGTAAATGAGCTAAGTATCTTAAGTGCAGAATGACCTTTTAAAACTAGACACAGCTATCATTTCTGCTAAGAGTTACCTTGCGTTATATACTTACTCTGAGCCATCACTGTTCTAAGATGTTTATGTGTCCGTGCAGTCCAAGAAGGCAAACAAGAAGATAGGAAATGGGCAGTGTTTCCGTCCCTGGTTAACTGAAGAAGTCACCATAGTAGGGGCCTGTTTTATGAGCTCAGAGACCAGGATCCTTGGAGGTTTATCTGTGGTGAAGTGTTTAACCTCAAGTAAAATTCTAATCTCCTTGTTTGCAGAGCTTTGAGGTACCAGACCCATTTCCTAGGATGTAAGTAGATGCTTATTTGCATCACTTCAGGATAGAGGATATTCTTGTTTGTTTTTTGGGGAGTCACACCCAATGATGCTCAGGTAATATTCCTGCTTTACACTCACAGATCAGTCAGAGCAGAGTTTCAGGGGACCGACCATGTGGAAGATTTAACCTGGGTCTGATACATACAAAACAAGCAAGCACATTACCTGCTATACTATTGCTTTGGCCCCAGAACACCTTTTTAAAATTTGAGGCAAAAATCTTTCAATTTGACATGTATTTAGAATTGTTTTATTAATGTTTACTAAAGGTCTGCACATGTGCATAGGATGAAGCATATAAAGCTGATCTTTTGTTAGGAAAAAATCAACAGTTCCTCAAAATACAATTTTCCTTTTGAACCCTCATGTTTAGTAATCTGGAAATGCAATTTAGTGCATTTAGATAAAATCAAAGTATTCTCATGCCCATGATAATAATTTTTTAAACTTTTTAAGTGCTTTAAAATACTAATTTTAGTACTGCAATCAAGAATCTTATGTAAAAATAACAAAAAATCATTATTCTGTTTTTTAGGTGTGTGGTTTTTAACAACAGAGGAGTGGCAGGGGAGAATCTTTTGGTAAGTACATTTGAATTCATGACAACAGCTTAATTTTTAAAAGAATCACGTCTAGTTTTTGTAATAAAAAGCATATGCTTTTAGTTAAAATTACTTACAATATAAAAAAGTACAACTTTGTTGTGAAAAAAAGATAAGGAAATGTGTAATACCCACAATTATATAACCAGGGAAGTATCCTTCATCTATGTTCATTCATATTTTATGCTTAAGTAAAATATAACATATAATTAAAATTAAGGTCCTATTTTGTAACTTTTGCATTATTTTGATTGTGTGTTTTTCCCATTGTTGTAGGTCCCTGGTTGTGGTATTCACACAGTTTTAGTTGCAGTTTTTGCTAAGGGTTGCACACTTCAGTTGTGTTTGAGCACACAGTCATTTAAAGTGCTCCTGGGAGGGAAGTCACACATTGATTGCAGGTGCTCACATACTTTAGTAGGGTTGTAATGCACCAGAGTTTTGCACACTTTGTTGTGGCACCAGGGGTTGTTCTTTTTATGTGGGGCAGTACTGAGGATCTTAACTCAAAGTTCTATGCCTGCAAGGACGTCACTTCACTGCTTAGATGTTGATCTTCTGGTAGGAAAACATGGACATCTCAAAATACAATTTTCTTATTCCAACCCTCATGTTTAAAAATCTAGAAATGCAATTTAGTGCATTTAGATGAAATGTCTAGGTCCTGTGCAGATTATATTTGAACATCAGTTATAATTAGTTTCTAACATAAAACACATTTTCTTTAAAAGTTACCTTCTATAGGGGCTGAACAATGGTACAGTGGGCAGGGTGCCTGCCTTGCACATAGTTGACCCGGCTCGATCCCTGGCACCCAAATGTCCCCTCTAGACACCCATAATGATCCCTGAGTACAGAGCCAGGATTAAGCCCTGAGTACATCCAGGTACTCTGAGTACATCCAGGTACTCGGGCGGCAAAAAAAAAAAAAAAATTAAAAGAAAAAAAATTTACTTTTCTCATGAAATAGGGAAATAGGGTAACTATTTGTTAGCTGAAGTTTACATAGAAGAAATATGTACATCTTTTCTAAGTCAGCTGATTTTTTTCCTCTAAGATCTAATTTTTTGCTACAATACATTCCACTACCTCTTAGAAAATTGTATCTAATGTTAAACCTCAGTAAGTGAAAAATACTATACTCACTAAACCTTTCTGTAAGAATTTCAACTGTTAGTTCATTACTTCTTTAAACGATCATAGACAGGAGCGATAGCACAGTGGTAGGGCATTTGCCTTGCGCGCAGCCAACATGGCCGAACCCGAGTTCGATTCCTCCGCCCCTCTCAGAGAGCCCGGCAAGCTACCGAGAGTATCTCACCCGCACGGCAGAGCCTGGCAAGCTCCCCGTGACATATTCAATATGCCAGACACAGTAACAACAAAGTCTCCAATGGAGACGTTACTGGGCCCGCTCGAGCAAATCGATGATCAACGGGAGGGCCTTTACTGCCAGAATTGAAGGAAATATTTGGGGAGCAGTCATTGATAAAGATGACATTAAAATGATAAACTAAAGATTATGATTACAAAAACCTGCTGAGTCCATGCTTTGTATGCAGAAGGGCTGCGTTCCATCTCTAGCATCACCTGGTCCTCTGAGCAGTGCCGGGAGTGACCTGCCCCCACCTCCAAAATACAGAACTTGGAGGAGTATCTCCCAGCACTGCTGGGTTGAGTGTGCCCAGATCGAAGAGATATTATAAATAATAAGGTCATGGTTGTTTAAATTTACAATTTTATCGCTAAATATTGGAACTTTATGGTTACTTGGAGAGGAAAAAAAAAGTTTTTGTACTTTGCTTCCCATTAACTTAGGCCCTGGAAGGAATTAAGATAAATATGATTTCAAAAGTTGAAGTTATAAAATGTTTATGTACTTACTCAACTTCCTCCTATTTCATGTGAAGGTATACATTTCCAGTTCTTCAGGAACTTTGTAGACAGTGGTAGGTACTCTCGAAAGACTTGAATTTGTTGCTGTGGCCCTGGACAAAGCAAATCTCTTTTGGGGAGGTGGGAATCGGAGTCACACTCAGCAGTGCTCAGGACTTACTCCCGGCTATGCACTTGGGATTCACTTCTGGCAAGGCTCAGGGGATCATATAAGGTGCCAGGGATCAAATCTGGGCACTCTGCGGACAAGGAGAGTGCCTTATGCACCGTACTATGCTCCGGCTCTTAAGCAGATCATTTTTTTATGTAGGAGTACTGCTATTAATTCAGCTACGGATTAGCTGATTGAATTGGGCATGAACTCCACCTTCCTTTTTTCTTTTCATTTTTTATAATTTTATTTAGTAAATCACCATGAGAGCAGTTATAAAGCTTTTGGGTTTAAGTCTCGGTCATACAATGAAACACCCATACCTTCACCAGTGCCCATTCTCCACCACCAAAACCCTCAGTATACCCCCATCCCAAACCCTCCCCCTACCTGTGGGGCAGATGATTTCCACATTACTCTCTCTCTACTTTGATCATATTCAATATTTTGACACCAGACCCACCTTTATTATTTGGGATTTTACCCCAACACTCAGATCTGCTGAAAAGGCAACAGTAGACAATTTGTTTTCTATTGCTGGTTAAGAATTAACATATAATGTCCTGTGGGTGCAGTAGTGGCTGTGCGATTTTGAAATTCTGAAATTTTAACACTTAAATCTGGAGGGATTTCTGCCAAAACCTGCTGAGTTCCGAGATTTGTTCCTTAGTCTCTTGGATCATGCTGTTAAGCAGCTTGATCAGGAGCCAGAAAGGCCATTCATGGGCGGCGACTCGGGGTCTTGTTGGAATGAGGAGGAAAGGGCTGGCTCCACCCCCATCCCATGAGGCCCCGAGTGTCTTATCACTGAGGGCCCAAACCTGACTGTCCAATGGCCTCTGGAGGATGGCAGCCACCGAGCCGCCTAGGGGGAGCAGGTGGAGGGACAGCACCTTTTCCCCCCTGGGGTGGCCCAGCGACAGTAACCTACTGCGGGTTCAGGCACATTTCTGCCCAAAGCCACTGGGTTCTGAGATCTGCTTCTGAGTCTCTGGGATCATGGCCGTCAAGCAGCTTGATCAGGAGCTAGAGAGGCCATTTGTGGGCAGCGGCTCAGGGTCTCAATAGGGTGTGGAGGAAAAGGCCAGATCCATCCCCGTCCCGTGTGGCCCCTTGTGTCTTGTCACTACGGGCTGAAACCTGATTGTCCAGTGGCCTATAGAGGATGGTGGCCACCGGGCTGCCAGGGGGAACAGGCCAAGCCACGAAACCTATTCCCACCTGGGGTGGCCTAGCACTGGCAACCTACTGCAGGGACTGGACGCATTTCTGCCAAAAACCTCTGGGTTTTGAGATTTGTTTCTGAGTCTCTAGGACTATGGCCATTGAACGGCTTGATCAGGAGCCAGGAGGCTGTTCATGTGCAGTGACTCGGGGTCTCGTTGGTATGGGGAGGAAAGGGCCAGTTCCACCCCCTTCCCGTGAGACCCCACGTGACTCGTCACTGTGGGCCCAAATCTGACTGTCCAATGGCCTTTGGCGGATGGCGGTCACCGAGCTGCCAAGGGGGAGCAGGCGGAGGGACAGTACCCTTTTCCCCCTGGGCTGGCCTGGCGACAGTAACCTACTGCAGGGTCTGGAGGCATCTCTGCCAAAAGCTGCTGGGTTTCCAGATTTGCCTGAGTCTCTGGGATCATGGCTGTCAAGCAGCTTGATCAGGAGCCACAGAGGCCATTCATGGGCGGTGACTCGGGATCTCATTGGGGTGGGGGGGAAGGGCCAGCTCCACCCCCATCCCATGAGGCCCCAAGTATCTTGTCACTGCGGGCCCAGACTGTCCAGTGGCCTCTGGAGGATGGCAGCCACTGGGCCACCAGGGGGAACAGGCCAAGGCACAAAACCTATTCCCACCTGGGTTGGCCCAGCGCCAGTAACCTACTTCAGGGACTGGACACATTTCTGCCAAAAACCTCTGGGTTTCGAGATTTGTTTCTGAGTCTTTGGGATCATGGCCATTAAACAGCTTGATCAGGAGCCAGAGAGGCCATTCATGGGCGATGACTTGGGGTCTTGTTGGGGTGGGGAGGACAGGCCCGGCACCACCCCCATCCTGTGAGGCCCTGCGTGTCTCGTCACTGCGGGCCCAAACCTGACTGTCCAATGTGCTCTGGTGGATGGCGCTCACCGAGCTGCCAAGAGGAAGCAGACGGAGAGACAGCACCCTTTCCCCTCTGGGGTGGCCCGGCGACAGTAGCCTACTGCAGGGTCCAGACGCATTTCTGCCAAAAGCCGCTGGGTTTCAAGATTTGTTTCTGAGTCTCTGGGATCATGGCCGTTAAGTAGCTTCATCAGGAGCCAGAGAGGCTGTTCGTGGGCGGCGACTCCGGGTCTCATTAGGGTGGGGAGGAAAGGATTAAGCAGATCATTTTTGAGTTGCACTTATCTGTGGCATATTCTTCTCGATGTTTCTAGGACACAAAAATGCTATAGACAGGGTCTAAGGCTTGCAAGAAAATAATGAACTCCAAAGTACAGTGAGGAACAAAAAAATCTGTCTATTCTGCAAACTTTGTTTTATGTCTATTAATTAGGGTGCTAGAGGCAAGTAGTACATGTCTGCTGGCCAAACCCAGACCTGCAGGAACTTGAGCTTAAATTGAAGAGAGTCAAATTCATAAAGCATACATAATACAGTGCTAAGTGGAACCATAGAAATATTTGTGAAGGCTGAAGGAAGCCAGTAACTAACTGATTAGAGAAGTTGGGAGAACATAACATGGAAGTAGAGTTGAATTGGTCTTGAAGTTTGTGGAGAAGGACTTGAACCAGGAGAAGAGCTAGCTAGAGAGGCTTTCTTGGCAGAGTAATTCAAGGCATTGGAGAGTATGGAATAGAAAGGGCTTACCTGTGGAGAAATGATGCCAATGATATATATACATATGTATATTTTGTTGCTGTTGCCAATGATTTTTATATAGTAATGTTTAATGTT